CGAGTAGTTAGTAAAGGTAAAATATTAAAATAAATACTCCTTCTTATTAAAAATTAAAAGACCCATTATATATTCCCTTATATTTATAATATAACCTATATTAGAGGGATTTCTAGCTCTATAAAACATAATTTCTAAATTAATATTAATGTATTAAATCTTAATATCTATTAGCCTAGTTATTTATAGCGTTTATACTATTACTTAGCTAAATTCTATATTATTAAAAAGTACTATACTACTTTTTAAGTATATTTATGTTAGCTATAATAGCTAGGGTATCGAGGGGGCCTAATTTATCGAGCCTTAGAGGGGGGGACCTATCGAGGGGCATTTTTAATAAAATAAGTTCTTAACGAGTAGTAGTTTATATATAATAGTTTTTCTGCCCGATAGAGCAATCCGCCGGGGCCGTACTATACATTACGTATTAAAAAAAACTAAATATAATATACTCTATACTTAACTACTAACTAAAATAGTAATTAACTAACTTAATTATTATCTCCCTTTTATTAATAACTCTTAACTTTTTATTACCCGCTTATAAAATAAGCTTTACTTATTTTAATATATATAAAACTTTTTAGTACTAGCTTATATAAATAGCTAGGTTTAGTATAATCTATTTTTTTATATAAATATTATTATTACTTAGGGGGTCTTATAAAAGCTATTTAAAGTACTAGTTTATTATTTTAATTTTATATACTTTTAACCCGTTTATTATAATTATTATAACTAAGTTAGTATTAATATATTAAAACTTAGTATTTATATTAGCCTACTTATTTATAATATTTATAATATTACTTAGCTAAATTCCGTATTATTAAAAAGTACTTTACTATTTTTTAAGTATACTTATATTAGTTATAATAATTATAATATTAAGCTAGCCGAGGGCGCTTAGGCCGAGAGGGGTAGACTTATTAACGGGTATCTTTGAGTTCTTATTAAAGTAATATTTTAATTAGCTAACTTCTTAATTAGTTATTTAATTAGCTATTTAAGTAGTAGTTTATATATTAATAAGTTTATTTAGTAAATTTATTTAGTAAATGTATTTGATTTAAATAGAGAGTAGCTTTAAGTAATATTAAAAGCGATAAGGATAAAAAGAATTTTTATAAGCTCTAGTATAGTAAAAAAATAGTAAATATTAGCCTATTTAGCCCTTTTTTTAAAAACCTCTACGTTATTATTAAAGTTTAAAACCTCTATAGTTAAGGGCCGCCTCTAATTATTATAGCTAACTATTATAGCTAACTATTATAATTAATTATTATAACTAACTATTATAACCGACCTTTACTATCGACCTTTCTAATTAGTATTACTATAATAGCTTACTTATCCTAAATTAAATAGCGGTTTTCGTATTAAAATTATTATATTACGTTAAGTATATACTTAGGATATATTGCGTATATTATATAATTAAAAAGTATATTATATTATATAATATCCCTTAAAAGTATAATCTTATTAAGGTCGATTTTTATACTTATAAAGCTAAAAGAAAAAAACTATATATAATAGTTTTTTTTTAACTTTATAAGCGTAAAAACTTAACTTTAATAAGATTATGCTTTTAAAAAGAATTATATAATACGATATACTTTTTAATTATATAATACGTATAATATACCCTAAGTATGTACTTAACGTAATATAATAACTTTAATACGAAAACTATTATATAATTCGAGATAGGTAAGCTACTACTACTTATTAATAATAAGCTAAGTAATATATTTATATAATAGCACTAGCTAAAAAGGTTAATAATAAAGGTTAGCCGTAATAATTAACCGTAATGATTAGTTATAATAATTAAAAGCGGCCCTTAATTATAAAAGTTCTAAACTTTAATAATAACGTAGAGGTTTTTTGAAAAAGGGCTAAATAAGCTAATATTTATTACTTATATTAAAGCTCGTAGAGATTCTTTCTATCCTTATTGCTTTTAATATAGTGGTTTTTTTCTAGTTTTATTAGTATAAAAAATCGACTTTAACAGGATTACGCTTTTAAAAGAAATTATATAATATAGTATATTTTTTAATTATATAATATATATAATATGCCCTAAGTACGCGCTCAACGTAATATAGTAATTTCGATATAAAAGCTACTACGTAATCTAGGATAGGTAAGCTGCCCTTTTTAGCTACTTATTAATAATACGCTAAGTAATATATTTATATAGCGGCGCTAGTTAGAAAAGTTAATAGTAGAGGTTAGCCGTAATAGTTAGCTATAATAGTTAGTTATAATAGTTAGAGGTAGCCTTTTTTAATTATAAAGGTTCTAAATTTTTATAGTAACGTAGAGGTTTCTAAAGAAAGGGCTAAATAGGTTAATATTTATTACTCTTTATATTAGAGTTTATAAAGATTCTTTTTATCCTTATTACTTTTAATATTACCTAAAGCTCTATTTAAATTAAATAAATTTATTAAATAAATTTACTAAATAAACTTATTAATATATAGACTATTACTTAAATAGCTAGTTAGATAACTAGTTAAGACGTTAGTTAAAATACTATTTCGACGAGAACTTAAAAATATTTATTAATATGTTTACCCCTCTTAAGCTAAGCGCCCTTTTTAACTAGCTCGACGCTATAGCTATTATAATTAATATAAATATACTTAATAATTAGTAAAATACTTTTTAATAATACGGAATTTAGCTAAGTAATAATATAAATATTATAAATAACTAAACTAATATAGAAGTTAAAATTTAATATATTAATATTAACTTAGGGATTATATTTTATAGAGCTAAAAATCTTTTTAATATAGGCTATATTATAAATATAAGGGAATATATAAAGGGCCCCCTAACTTTTAATAAAAAGGAGTATATAATATAAGATCTAGTTACTTATATAGGCTAGTATTAAGAGGTCTTATATATATTAAAATAGGTATAGCTCGCCCTCTAAATAAGTAGGGGAAGGTTAGGAGTTAATAAAAAGAAAATAATAGTTAAGTTAGTTAACTATTTTAATTAGTAGTTAAGTATAGAGCGTAATATACTTAGTTGTCTTTAATACGTAATATATAGTACGGCCCTAGCGGATTACTTTGTCAGGGGGTTATTATTTTTAATATTACCTAAAGCTTTATTTAAACTAAATAAATTTACTAAGTAAATTTATTAAACAAATCTACTAAATAAACTTATTAATATATAAACTATTACTCTACTCTTAGTATATAATTAGTAATTAGTAAGCTAAAAATGCTTATTAATAAGTTTACTCCTCTCGGGCTAAGCGCCCTCGGCTAGCTTAACGCTATAGCTATTATAACTAATATAAATATACTTAAAAAATAATAAAATACTTTTTAATAATATAAAATCTAGCTAAGTAATGATATAAATACTATAAATAGCTAGGCTAATACGGATATTAAGATCTAATATATTAATATTAATTTAGAAATTATATTTTATAAAACTAAAAATCCTTTTAATACGGACTATATTATAAATATAAGGGAATATAAAGGGCTTTTTAATTTTTAATAAAAAAGAGTATATAATATAGGATTTAGCTACTTACGTAGGCTAGTACTAAGAGGTCTTATATATATTAAAATAAGTATAGTTTACTTTCTAAATAGCTAAAAGTAAGGGAAGGTTAAGAGCTATTTTAATTAGTAATTAAGTATAGAGCGCAATATACTTAGTTTTTTTTAATATATAATATAAGTTCTATTAGGGGGGCTATATTAGTTAGCTAGGCGGGCTATGTCCTACTTTTTTTAACTAATAAGATAATTACGATTTCCTTAGCCACTAGCCTTATATAAAACCTATTTATATAAACTTATATAATTTAAAAATTATTTTAGTTTTTATTATAGTAATTAAGAAATCTTAATAAATCTTAATTTTGATTAATTTTAATTAAAACTTCTTTAACTACGGCCTTTAATTAACTAACTAAGTTATTAAAACTATAGTTTTATTAATATTATTTAAGTTAAAAAAAGTTAAAGTTATTTATTATATTTCTTTATTACTAATCGCTAGGCTTTTTCTATTTTTATTACTTAACTTCTATTTATTATTATTATTAACTATGTATTTTATAAAACTAACTTATTATTATTATTATTATATTTAAACGCTAATTAATTACGGTATATACTCTACTTAACTAGTTATAGTACTAGGTTCTAAGCTTTATAAGGTTATCTAAGTACCCTTATTATTAACTAGGCTAGTATTACTAAAGAAATAAGTACCCTTAAAGAGGTAAGTGCCCCTAAGGAGAGAGGAGTTAATAAAGTACCATAATAAATAATATTCTTATTCTTTAGGCGCTTATATAAAATAATAATACTAATAAGGTTTTTAATATTAAATAAAGTACTTTTAACGTTCTAATTTAATAGTAAAATTAATATAATTTATAAATTAATAGAAAACTTATTAATAGCTAATATAATTATTAACGAGGGTAAATATATATTTTTATAAATAGCTATTTATATTTTATATAATTCAGTAGCTTATAATTTATAGGAAATAATACTAATTTATAAAATTATTAAAGTATAGTAATAGATTAGGAGGGCGAGGACTTTATTTAGTTAGTAATAAAAAAAGGGCTTTTTAATACTAAGTACTTATTAATTTTAGTATTTTTAAACTAACCTCTTTAAAAATAAGTTTAAGTTAGTCATAGTAGAGGTACTTATAATAAATACGAGATTTTATTATTATTATTATTATTTTATAAATATAAGCCTTATTACGTAATATCTTCTTAACTACCTAAGTAATAGTATATAAGTTAGAGTTATTATTAATAATATATAACTTTAGGTCTTTATAAATAGTCTTAGTAGGACTATTAGTCTTAATACCAAAGTTCTTATATTAAAAAATAAAGTAATTAGCTTATTAATATTATAGGGGGAGGTAGGTATTTATAATATACTTTAAAAATAAGTCCTAGTTAGTAAACTTTATTAATAAGTAGTCCTAAGTAGCGTTAAAGTCGTCCTTAGTATTAGTATATATAATATAAGCCTATATTTAATAAAAGTTAGTAAGTATATAAGGAATTTCTAGTGGCGTCCCGCGCCTAATATTGCTATTAATCCGTATTTATAAACTTTGTAAGAGGGAAAGTTTAAAAGGTAGAAGAAAATCGAAAACAAAGTCTAATAAGATAGTATAAGTATTTACTAATACTATGTATTAATACCGTATAACTAATATCGAGAATCGCCCGAGTAGTTAGTAAAGGTAAAATAGTAAAACAAATATAAGGAATTTCCTAAGACTATTAACTAATACTAAGGGTCTTATTAGCCCGGGCCCTATTATTAAAGTTCTAAATAGTTTTATTTTTAATAACCTTCTTATTATAATTAATATTAAGCTTATTAATAGGCCCACCGGGGCCCTTTTACTTATACTTAATATTAAAACTAACGTTCTAATTAATATAAAAAATATAAAACTAAAGCTAAGTATTAAGCTAAACCTTTATTATTATTAACTTTATAATATCTTTAAAATTAATAATAGCTATTTTAAGCCGCTTAATATTAATTTTAATTTAAATAAATTTAACGAACTTAATAAAAGAGTTTTGCTATTGGGGCAGTACCATTTAGCTATTGGGGCAGTAACCCACTTTTCGGACCAATGAGGGCTTACAAATACAGAGCTCGGACCACCACCCCACACCCGTATCCGCTATACCTACCCACGGGCCACCTAGCGTAATTGCCTACGGTCGCAATTACGTATCGTAATTATATAAGGTAGCTACGGGCACGTACGGTCGCAGTTGCCCACGGTTATAAGTGCTTATTAAAAAAAGATAGTTGAATAGGTAATTAAGTAGGTAATTACGACCGTGGGCAATTGCGACCGTAGGTAATTGCGACCGTAAGCAATTGCGACCGTAAGCAATTGCGACCGTAGGTAATTGCAACCGTAGGCAATTATAACTGTACGTGCCCGCAGCTGCCTTATGTAATCACGACGCACATCCGCCGGGTGGCCCGTGGGTAGGTGCAGCGGGGCTAAAAAAGTTTAGAGTATAGACGGTAGGCTCTAATTGGTCTAAAAAGTGGGTTACTGCCCTAATAGCCAAATGGTACTGCCCTAATAGCAAAACTTTAATAAAAAAGTTATAGCCCTCGTAGCGTTTTATTAAAATAAAGCTAAAAGCGTAGTTATATAAAGAGTTAATATTAATAATCTTAGTAACTTAAGAAGTATTAAGATATATTTTAAAAAAAGAAATAGAGTTTAAAAAAGATAAAGAGGTTTTTTAAATATTAATTCTTATTTAGAATAATAATATTTTAAATTAGTTAGTTTTATATATATTATTAAGCTTAATAACTTTAAAAAACCGCTTTTATATAATCTTATATTAAGAGTAGGTTTAAATAAAGCCTATAAGCTAATTAAGATCCTTTAATAATTATTAAATACGATATTTATATTTTATACTTATTAAAATACTTACGAATTACTAAATAATAAAGCGACCGTTAAGTTCTTTTAAGTAAATTTATTAATAAGTATTATTAATATCCTTTTACTTAATAAGGGACCTAGGCTTAATATCTCGAATAATAATAGCTACTTTACGTAACTTAATAACCTTATACTTAGAAACGGTTTTAAAAAAGGTTTATTACGTAGTAATAAGCTTTTAATAAAGCTTATAAATAGAGGGGTTTAAAAAAAGTACGTAGTTATAAGTAGTATTTATTTAAGTTCTACTAAGGGGGCTGTGTTAGTTAGCTAAGCGGGCTATATCCCACCTTTCCTAAACTAATTTAACTAATAAGAGGCTAGTAATTATTCCGACCGATTTTTACTACTACTAATTACCCACTTCTACTTACCCACTTTAACTTACTTACTTTAACCTACCCACTTTAACCTACCTACTTTAACCTCGCTATCGCTACTTATAAAAAGTAAAATTATTACGACTTTTTAAAAGAGGTATTACTAATTAACTTAATTACCCCTACATAATTAGAAGAGTATAATATACCTAACCCGCCGTATCTCGTACTAGTCTCGATTACTATAATAAAAACTAGAATAATTTTCGAATTATATAAGTTTACGTAAGCCGGTTCTATATAAGACTAGTAGTAAAAAGTTAGAATTAATTACTTACCGTAGTTAGCTAAGAAAATCGCGATTATCCTATTAGTTAAAAAAGTGGGACACAGCCCCCCTAGTAGAACTTATTTATTTTTATATTTTACTTTTGCTAGCTACTCGGGCGATTCTTAATATCGATTATATAATATTAATATATAGTATTAATAAATACTCCTACTATCTCGATAGACTATTTTTTTAGATTTTCTACTTTTTTAACTTTCCCTCTTATAAAGTTTATAATTACGGATTATTAACGGCGAATTATTAATTATAAAGTCTTATTAAAGTACGTAATAGAAACTTAATATTAACCCTAATAAACTAGCTTACTTATAAAGGCAAAGATAGCCCCTAATAAGGCGGACCGGACCCTAAAGGGAAGCTAATATTAATATATTAGATTTTAATATTTATATTAGCCTAGTTATTTATAATATTTATATTATTACCTAATTAAATCCGTATTATTAAAAAATACTATACTACTCCTTAAATATACTTATATTAATTACGATAGTTAGGGCGTTAAGGGGGCCTAAGAATTTATTAAGCTTTAGAAAAGGTTATTTATTAAAGGGTATTTTTAAAATAAGTTCTTAACGAGGTAACATTTTAATTAGCTAATTTCTTAACTAATTATTTAACTAATTATTTAAATAATAGTTTATATATTAATAAGTTCGTTTAATAAGTTTATTTAATAAATTTATTTAGTTTAAATAGAGAGTACCTTAAGTAATATTAAAAATAATAAAAATAATAAAAATCTTTATAAGCTTTAAAAAGTAATTAAATATTAGCCCTTTTAGCCCTTTTTTTTAAAAACCTCTACGTCGCTATCAAGTTTAAAACCTTTATAATTAAGGGCCGCCTTTAATTATTATAACTAACTATTATAACTAAGTATTACGGCCGACCTCTATCGTTAACCTTTTTAATTAGTATTATTACGTAAAGGGTAGCTTACCTATCCTAAATTATATAATAGTTCTCGTATTAAAACTATTATATTACGTTAAGTACGTACTTATAATATATTATTTATTTTTTATTTTTACCTTTACTAGCTACTAGGGCGATTCTCGATATTAGTTATATAGTATTAATATATAATATTAGTAAATACTCTTATTATTTTATTAAACTATTTTTTAAAAATATTTTTTACCTTTTCAAACTTTCCCTCTTATAAAGTTTATAATTATAGATTAATAATACCCCCCGACGGAGCAATCCGCCGGGGCCGTACCGTGTATTACGTATTAAGGAAAACTAGGTATATTAGGGCAGCTTGCCTATCCCGAATTATATAGCAGTTTTCGTATCAAAATTACTATATTACGTCAAGCGTATACTTAGGGTATATTACGTATATTATATAGTTAAAAAATATACCGTATTATATAATTTCTTTTAAAAGCGTAATCCTATTAAGGTCGATCTTTTGCGCTTATAAAGTTAGAAAAAAACCACTATATAAAGATTAATAATAATAATATTATAATTATAAATAGTTTTTTTAAAGCTATATAATAGTTTTTTTTCCGGCTTTATAAGTATAAAAGATCGGTTTTAATAAGATTACGCTTTTAAAAGAAATTATATAATATAATATACTTTTTAATTATATAATATATATAATATATCCTAAGTACGCGCTAAATATAATATAATAATTTTAATATAAGAGTTTTACTATTCGGGTAGTATTATTTAGCTATTTAGGTAGTAATCCATTTTATTAGCTAATTAGAGCTTACTATTTAAACTCTAAACTTCTTTACCTTACTATACTTACTTACGGGCTACTTAGTATATACGGACTATAATTACGTAAGGTAGCTGCGGGTACGTACGGTTATAATTACTTATAGTTATAATTACCTATTTAATTACTTATTTAATTATTTATTTAATTATTTATTTTAATAAGTAATTATAACCGTAGGCAATTATAACCGTAAGTAATTACGACCGTACGTACCCGCGGCTACCTTACGTAATTATAGTCCGTATATACTAAGTAGCCCGTATATAGGTGCAGCGGGTACGGATATAGGGTTATAGCCCGAGCTTTATAGCCATAAGCTCTAATTAGTTTAAAAAGTGGATTATTACTCAGATAGCCAAATAGTACTACCCGGATAACAAAACTCTAATATAAAACCGCTATTTAATTTAGAATAAATAAGCTACCCTTTACGTAGTAGCACTAGCTAAAAAGGTTAATAATAGAGGTTAGTTATAATAATTAGCCATAATAATTAGCTATAATAATTGGCCGTAATAGTCGGCTATAATAATTAAAAACAGCCCTTAACTATAGAGGTTCTAAACTTTAATAATAACGTAGAGGCTTTTAGAAAAAGGGCTAAATAGGCTAATATTTACTACTCTTTTATTATATTAAAACTTATAAAAATTCTTTTTATCCTTATTATTTTTAATATTACCTAAAGCTACTCTCTATTTAAACTAAATAAATTTACTAAATAAATCTATTAAATAAATTTACTAAATAGATTTACTAAATAAATTTATTAATATATAAACTACTACTTAAATAGCTAGTTAAATAACTAGTTAAGAAGTTAGCTAGTTAAAATACTACCTTAATAAGAACCTACTCTCTTAGTATATAGTTAGTAATTAGTAGGCTAGAACTCTCTAAAAATACTTATTAATAAGTTTACTCCTCTCGGGCTAAGCGCCCTTAGCTAGCTCAATACTATAGCTATTATAACTAATATAAATATGCTTAAGGAATAATAAATTACTTTTTAATAATATAGAATTCGGCTAAGTAATATTATAAATACTATAAATAGCCGGGCTAATATAAATATTAAATTCTAATATATTATTATTAACCTAGTTATAATAATTATAATAAATAAGTTAAAAATATATAAAGTTAAGGTAATAAGTTAATACTTTAAATAGCTCTTATAAGACCTCTTAAGTAATAATAATATTTATATAAAAGAATAGATTATACTAGACTTAGCTACTTATATAAGCTAGTACTAAGAGGTTTTATATATATTAAAGTAAATAAAGCTCGCCCTATAAGCGGGTAGTAAAAAGGTAGGAGTTTTAGTTAGTAATTAAGTATAGAGCGTATTATACTTAGTTTTCCTTAATACGTAATATACGGTACGGCCCCGGCAGATTGCTCTATCGGGGGGCTATTTTTATATTATATTTTTAAAATATTAATAATATTCTAATATAAATTAAGTATTTTAAAGTTATTATATTATGTAAGCTAAGTACTAATTAAGGTAATATTTATATTAATATACCTCTTTTTAATTTTTAACTTAATAATA